CTCACCTCCCTCACCACCCTCACCCTCACTCTCCCCTCCCCCTCACTCCTCCCTCAGTCTCCCCACCCTCCCCTCGCCTCCCTCACCTCTCCCTCACCCCTCCCCCTCCCCTCCCCTCCCTCACCTCCCTCCCCTCCCCTCACTCACCCTCACTCCCCTCCCTCCCTCCCTCACCCTCTCCCTCCCCTCTCCCCTCCACCTCCCCTCCCTCCCCACCCTCACTCTCCCCACTCACCCCCCCGCCTCCCTCCCCTCACCCTCCCCCCTCACCCTCACCTCCCTCACCCACCCTCACCTCCTCACCACCCCGCCTCCTCACCTCCTCCTCTCACCTCCCCCCTCCTCCTCACCCACCAACCTCACCTCCTCCTCAACTCTCGCCTCCCTCCCCTCCTCACCTCCTCCTCACCTCTCCCTCCTCTCTCCTCACTCCTCACACTCACCACCACCCTCACTCTCCCTCACCCTCACTCTCCCTCAGTCTCCCTCACTCACCCTCACTCTCCCTCACTCTCCCTCACCTGCCGTGTACTGGGTCTGGAACATACATCATAGAGTACCAACACATTGTATCTGAAGATCAATACTATACTCTCTCACACCCTCCTCCCTGGCGAGCGGCGGCGCTGGCGAAGGGTTCCTCTAGGCGTAGGTAACCGTAAGTGTGTGTTAAGGGCGGAGAACCATCGCCAAATACTGCTGAGTACCTACAGTCGCCAGTGCTAACGAAGGAAGAATAGGGTGATGTGTATAGGGAGAATAGGGTGATGTACAGGGAGAATAGGGTGATGTATAGGGAGAATAGGGTGATGTACAGGGAGAATAGGGTGATGTGCAGGGAGAATAGGGTGATGTATAGGGAGACTAGGGTGATGTACAGGGAGAATAGGGTGATGTATAGGGAGAATAGGGTGATGTGTATAGGGAGAATGAAAGCTGTATTGAATGTTTGTCTTTAATTATCCACAATTGGCAAGTTAAAGTTCTCGAGTGTGTTATTTCTTGAGGGAGTTCGTGGTCTAAGGGTTGGTGACCACAGACTACCATTTAAACATAGTCGGGCTGTGTTGATCAGACCTCCCACATTGTGTAGCTAAGTAGGAGCCCCCGACAATACCCGACAGAGCCCGACAGAATCTGGAAGAAACCTACAGAGCCCCGATAATACTCAACAGAGCTCAACAAAGCCGGACAGAGCCTGACAAAACCCGAAAGAGCCCGACAGAATACGACAATACCCGATAGCATCCGAGAATACCCGATAGAGCCCAATAGAACCCGACAATAGTCGACACTCCCGACAGAGTTATGTGGTAGGCATTCAGGAGATGGTATCAAGAGTCTGTAGGTGACAGAAGCTGTATCACTGTTGAGACTTAAGTGTTTGTCATAATTCTGAGGTTTAACAGAATTGGCTGCCAGTGTGTGTGTGTGTGTGTGTGTGTGGTGTGTGTGTGTGTGTGTGTGTGTGTGTGTACGTGTCCTCAAATCATCACTCCCCCATCTACACAAGTCATCCCTCTTATTCATCAACCTGACACGCCGTTTTCTATAACAGGTTATCTCCCTGACCTTCCCACACTACAAAACTCAACTCTACCCTGACATCCGTGACCCTTTGTCAACCCTCTCTCTTGTTTATTATCACCGTGAAAGCCTGGGGATATTTTTACAGTTATATACACTAGATAGTTAAGGTAATTTTACATCTACGATCGCTTGTTTTCCCCGTGTGTGTGTGTGTGTGTGTGTGTGTTTGTTTGTGTGTGTGTGTGTGTGTTTGTGTGTGTGTGTGTGTGTGTGTGTGTGTGTGTTTGTGTTGTATTGTTTGTATTCAGGCACGCAGTAAAACACAGAACAAAAGCCTTGATTGGCTGCCTCTGTAAAACTGCTACTCGAAACTCAGTGTGTCGTGGAGGTTTTAGAACATTGCTGTATTAAACATTGTTGTATTATGGAGGCTTGGAGCATTATTGTATTAAACATGTAAATATCAGTATCTTTTGATGGTCATAGAATCGTACACTTGATGTTATCGTTCACGGATGGAAATTATCGTGCATCTGTTTGTAATTTTATCTGGCAACAATGTTTATGTTATCGTACACACTGACTAAAATTTTATACACCTACTTCTAACTTTGTCGTACAAGGTAACTTAACTTATCATACACCTAGGGCTATATATTAACTCAACAAGATATCAAAACAAGTCATTCCCCAACCTAAATGCCTCTTTGGGGAGTAAACTTATCACACATCAATGGTTTAAAAGTATCATATAGCAACAAACTATCGTACACCGACAGTCATAGTATCGTACATCGGCGGCCAGATGATCGTAACACAAGATTAAAGTAGTCGTTTTGACCGCACTTCCGCTTGTTACATAATCCCTTGGAAGGTCACGAAACAGGTCAAAAACTAAACCCTAATCCCCTCCTTATCTACTCCCTTTACCTACCTTCATCACCCCCTCACCCCCTACACTCCCATTACCCCCTAAACACCCTTTACCTCCCTCCTTAACCCCCCTCTACACCCCCTTACCACCTATACCCCCTACCTACCCCACCCCCTCAATAGATAAGCAGAGAGAGAGACCCCTCGTGTGTTAATTGCCTCCACCATCTATCATCTTCAGGGAAACTTCTGTGACTTTTTCCCTGAGGTTTAGGGAAAATTTGAGGATTTTTAGGGGAAATTCTGGTAATTTATGACGTATCTGGGGGAAAAGTTGAGTCCTTGCCTCCAGGTTCAGCTGGGGTGGATGATGGCGGCCGGGGCGATCTGACCCAGGGGAAAAAATGAGGAGTGGGGAAAGAATTTGAGATAAGAGTTTTGGAGATAAGGAAAGAGAGAGAGAGGATGAGAGTAAGGGGGGGGAGGGAGAGATTGAGTGAGTGAGAGAGACTGACAAAGAGAGAGAGAGGATGAGAGTAAGGGGTGGGAGGGAGAGATTGAGTGAGTGAGAGAGAGAGTGAGAGCGCGAGGAAAATATTGAGAGGTGGGATAAGGAAAGAAAATTGAGAGATAAAGAGTAAGAAAGAAATATAGACAAAAATCAAAAGACAGACAGACAGACATAGACAGACAGACAGATAGACAAACAGACAGACATATAGACAGACAGGCAGACACACAGACAGACAGACAGAGAGACACAAAGACAGCGAAGATCGTGAAAAATTGAAAGTCATGTATTAAACTCTACGGTCATGGCTACCCACGTTTGACTATCAGAAGGTCGACCAACTTTGACCTTTGTTTGACCCCTGAGGAATAAAGGGGAGGGGGCGGTGTAGTTGGTGAAGGGGGTGATGTAGTTGGTGAGGGGGGGTGATGGAGTGATGGGGTGGGGGAGGGGATGAGGGCTGGTGGAGAGGTCAGGTAAAAAAAAAGTTGTTTACTCGCCTAATGAAATAAGTAAAAATGGCTCTGTATAACAACTTCTAGGATGAACAACGACAATAGTAATTCCCAGGGTGATCAGAGACACTTGTGGCTCCAAGGATGATCAGCAACAATTGTGACTCCCAGGATGATCAACGCCGGTGGTTTATGGTGACAAAAGTTCGTGATTGGAAAACTTTTTTTCTTTTTTAGTGATTGTCTGTCAGGGTGGGGAGGGAGGAAGGGTTCATCGCCTCCTGACGCTTCTGTCTCTCTCTCTTTGTCTCTGTGTTTGGATTCGTTAAACAGACAGACAGACTATTGGCTAATTCCAGCTCACACTTATGATAGATTATTTTAAGATATCAACAGATTAAGGATTTAATAATACCAAATGTAAATCTGAGGACAGTATCTACAAGGATTCGCTAAGCGTGAAGCAAATCGGACAGCAGCAACAGAGAGACAAATGATTCGCCAGTCCTGAGTCGAATCTATATCTCGGGTTGAAATTGGATACGTGAGATAGGGACACAGTGGAACATGGTGGGACACGGGGTGACTAATTTGAGGAGACAGCTGTGTGTCCCGGAGGAGGGAGGGAGGGAGGGAGAGGGACGACGGGGGGGACCTGCCATCAGCTGATTTCCCAGGTAGGCTAGATCTCACCTGCCCTAATTAGCTACCACTGATAATGATGACTGAAATCATTCCTTCCACCGGGAATAGAAACGCTACACCGGCCGCTGGCGTTCAAGGTATTGGAGTGCCTATGTCTATCTGTATGTCTGTCTGTCTGTCTCTCTGCCTGACTGTCTCTCTCTATGTCTGCCTGACTCTCTCTCTCTCTCTCTCCCCACACCGCTAGCTAGATCCACAGTCACTATTCTCGCCCATAATTAAAAATTCTATCAATCTTTTCTCCGTCTTTCCTACCATTTATGCATCAAGTCCTCTCTCTATATCTATCTATCTATCTATCTACCTATCTATCTATCTATCTATCTATCTATCTATCTATCTCACCAGAAGGACAGCCGCTTATACCCACTACCTGAGCTATATGAAGTACTTTTGTCTCAGGGGAACTTAGCCCTCTTGTTCTCTCCCACCAGGTGAAACAATGGCCCCCCTTACTACCTGCCCCGACCAGTACCTCCACCTCTCGTTTTATTTCACCTGTGGCTCTCTCTCTCTCTCTCTCTCTCTCTCTCTCTCTCTCTCTCTCTCTCTCTCCTCTCTCTGTAGCTCTGCAGTATGTGATTTGCATAAACAATGCAGTTCCTAACTCTTTCGATTCCTCTATTCAGTGTGCTTCTGTTGAAACAATGCATAATAATTGCACACACACACACACACACACACACACACACACACACACACACACACACACACACACACACACACACACACACACACACACACTGACTTACCTGATTCAGAGCCGTACATGTGGAAGTAGAATGAGAAGCAGGTGACGGTGTTGCTAGGAGACGGGAAGTAGATAGGGGAGAAAAGCAGTGACCTGTGACCCTCGTTCTTGGGTATGGCTGAGTCCACGTACATGTAGTGACCTGTGGGAGAGAGTACGGACGCTAGAGTACATGTAGTGACCTGTGGGAGAGAGTACGGACGCTAGAGTACATGTAATATATTTAGTATAAGCAGTTATACCTAAAATTATCCCTAAAACATAAAATTATCGTACGTAAACCTCAAGTTATCGTACGTTAAGCCCAAGTTATCCGTACACAGAAGCAATAGTCAGCAGGTCAGAGTCTCCGTTAGTCACAATGGCGCCATCTACCTAAGGAAAGGTCCCTGGCCATCTATTGACACCCTGAACTAAGGGAAGCCTCACCCTTTTTTCCACACCCTTTGTTGCCCTCACAATAGCAAGGGGCGGATCCTGGGAGACGCCGTGACGTCACAGTAGATTCATCCGTTACTTGGTCGAACTGCGATCAATGAAGTGAGGAAACCTGTGTGTCCTTATACCATTTGTTGCTACTACTACTACTACTACTACTACTACTACTACTACTACTACTACTTTTTTTTTTTTTTTTTTTTTTAACGTGGCCTCCAGCCTCCCCAATAGCCACACCTTCGCCACCATTTATTTACCTTAATATTAAATATCCTAATACATAAACTATCCTATCTATGTACTACTACTACTACTACTACTACTACTACTACTACTACTACTACTACTACTACTTCTACTACTACTACTACTACTACTACTACTACTACTACTATACTTTCTTTTCTTTTTTTATAAACGTGGCCTCCATCCTCCCGCAATAGCCACACCTTTGCCATCATTTTATTACCTTAAAATTAAATATCTTAATACATAAGTAGCTATCATAGCTGTGTTGAGTTAGTTGAGCCGCAGATCTAGGAGGTATTCAGTGACTGTTGCCCCCATGACCACCAACCCCCATATCCCAACCAGCCCCATCACCCATCAGCCCCCATCACCCATCAGCCCCATCACCACACCAGTCCCATGACCCCACCGCCCCCATGACCCCACCAGCCCCCATCACCCATCAGCCCCCCATCGCCCATCAGCCCCCATCACCCATCAGCCCCCATCACCCATCAGCCCCATCACCCACCAGCCCCCATCAACCCAACCGCCCCCATCACCCACCAGCCCCCATCACCCCCACCAGCCCCCATCACACCACCAGCCTCCATCACCCCTGACCCCATCACTTACCAGCCCCCATCTTACAGCCCCATCACCCCACCAGCTCGCATGACCACAGAGCCTTGCATGACCATCATTAAGTTCTCATGTAATATTTTTTACTTTTGTTCCATCAAATCCATTTTCGAAAATTGAAGACTATTATCCTGATCGATTTTCCTCCATCAATAATAAACTGTTTCGTCGTCGGGGGTAAATAAAGGATTTATTTTTATATATTTACGGTGAAACGTGTGTGTGTGTGTGTGTGTGTGTGTGTAAGTATGTATTCACCCACCCACACACACACACACACACACATCTTATCTCTCAACAAAATATAAAACACTTCACCCTGCACCACATAAAACTTTCCTCCCATAAAAAAAAATTCAAATTTGAAAAAGAGAAAAAACAAAATATGTTGGACGACTGTGGGAGACAAAAATATTTCTCTACCATATCGTGTTTCATAAATCCTGTGAGAGATACAACACTGGCCCGGCCTACTGTAGTGTCTCTGGCTACTGCTGGTCCTGACACTCTCCTGACACTCTCCTGATGTTTTCCTGGCACTCTCTTCACCTACCACTGGTCCTGACACTCTCCTGATAATTAGTCCTGACACGCTCTTCACCTACTACTGGTCCTGACACTCTCCTCACTCCATCCTCAACTAGCACTGGTCTTGGCACACTCCTGACACTTGCCTTGGTTCTGATATTCTCCTGATAATGGTCCTGACACTCTCCTAAAACTCTCCTGACACTGGTCCCTGACTGTTGTTGATGTACGATAACTGCTGGTGATGTACGATAACTCTAGCTCTTGATGTACGATAGCTGCTGTTGATGTACTGTAACTCTAGCTCTTGATGTACGATAACTGCTGGTGATGTATGATAACTGTTGTTGATGAATGATAGCAGCTGTTGGTGTATGATAATTACCGCTATTGTTTTTGTATGATAAGTGCCCGTTTACCATAACTGTTGGTGATGTACGATGATTGCTGCATAATTACAATAATTCCTGCTGCTGATGGTGGTGATTAACGATAACTCTTGCAGTTGTCGATGTATAATAATAACTCATAGTAAATAGAGAGAGAGAGAGAGAGAGAGAAGGAAGGAAAAAGAGAGAGAATGAAAAAAACAGAGATTCTTGCTTGTTCGATAATTTCTCGTAATGTAAGATAACTCTTGGTAATGTACGACAAATAAAACAATTCTAATCCCTTTCATACAGGTCAAAAATATATATATTCCCGCCGTGATAAACACCTGTAATAACTCTGACCTGCAAATTGTTAACAAAATATCTGTATATATATCCGCCAGGTAAGATAATTATGACATCATCGCCTCATCAAAGTTTTACGACACAAGATTGACTAAAACACAACAACAGATCTATAAATCATCAATATTTATTCTCAAAATTAATATAAAAAGGCATCATAATTTCCCTGGGTATAAGATTTATTTATCTCCACCATGTTGTAATGTGTAATGCATTATATTTATTTTTAGAATACTTAAACTTTATGTATGTTTGTTTGGTAAATATTTATAGTAATAATATTTGGGTTTACCTGAGGAGTACGTAAAGAATTTTATCATTTGAAACAGTTTATTATGAGTATAATTATCATCATCATCATCATCATCATCATCATCATCATCATCATCATCATCATCATCATCATCATTATCATCATCATCATCATCATCATCATCATCATCATTATTATCATTACTACTCAATTATTATTATTATTATTATTATTATTATTATTATTATTATTATTATTATTATTATTATTATTATTATTATTATTATTATACACAACCTTTACTTACTGAGTGAGGTGTTACACTATCTCCAGGTAAATATATATGTCAGATGTTACTGGATAATTCATCATGGTCAGAGGCTTTGTGAGGAAAATTATGTAAAATTAATAATTATATATTTTAAGAGGATGTAACACCGTGTTTTAGTCTCTCTCTCTCTCTCTCTCTCTCTCTCTCTCTCTCTCTCTCTCTCTCTCTCTCTCTCTCTCTCTCTCTCTCTCTCTCTCTCTCTCACCTACAGTAGATACCTTGTGTTGTAAAGTTAAGGTGACAAAACACGTTGATTATATTACTGACCGGAGTGTTGTCTATGTATTACGCTCACTAACTGGCTGTGTAGAAGAGAAGAGTTTTTGATCTCACCGGCAAGTTAAAAGCCTCTGGGGATTTCGTACATTATGCTCGCTGATGGGCTAAAAGTAGACAGGATTTAATGAGTTATTATTCTCGATTACGGTGTCAATAAAAAAATATGATTGGTTGTATTATGCTTACTGCCGGGGTAAACAATAACAGTAATTGGTTCATTATGCTCAGTGAGTGGAGAGACTGAAGCTTAATAGCGATAATCTGTAATTTTTTATTTACTCACATGTAGAAACAATAATATTGACGGAGAGAAAATGAGAGGAGGAAGAGAAGAGAGATTACAGAAAATAGAAGAAGATAAAGTAGAATTAGAGAAAACGTCAAATGGTTGAGATGTAGAAATATGTTAATGGATGGACCTCATATCGAAAAAAATATTGTAATTTTTGTGTTCTTTAATCATGTCTGTTTTTATCTGTGTCTGTTTCATTCTACGTGTGGATGTCTCTTCGTTTTGTCGTTATTTCTGTCTTTTTCTTTTTTATTCGTTTAGCTTTGATTTAATATTTATCCTTTATTGTTTATCAAAAGGTCGAAAAAATTGAACCGATCACCGTAACCTCCACCCACTTTATGGTGTCCTTAGCAACCATTACAATCCCTGGCAGATGATTGGTTGTTGGTTGCTAAGTGATGTAAGTAGGCGGAGTTTTTGTTGCTGAAATGAACTGTATACGAGATAAAAAGAATGTGTGTGTGAGAGAGAGAGAGAGAGAGAGAGAGAGAGAGACCATCATGATCACTAGAACGTCAACATAATACAATAACACCGCCATTTTCGTCGAGCCTCGCGGATATACACAAATCGTTCGCATACGTATCGAGGCGGAGAGGATTTTTACCTCCAGTTTAGCGAGTGTCGGAAATACTTGTTTGTGTTGCTTCAGTGTTGTTGTATTAGCACGGAGGAGAGCGGGTGGTGTCTCTCTCTCTCTTCTCTCTCTCTCTGTCTCTCACTCTCTCTCACTATATAAGTCAGTTAATCAGTCAGACAGTCATTCATACAACCAGTCAATGAGTCAGACAGAACAGGTATTCATAGAGCTGGTAGACGCAGCAGAACGAACATCAGTACTCAGACCCGCGCGGTCACCAGCAGCCGCGTGAAACTCTACGGTGCCAGCCAGCCACGTTTAACTACCAGAGCTGGATAAATAGTCTCTCTCTCTCTCTCTCTCTCTCTCTCTCTCTCTCTCTCTCTCTCTCTCTCTCTCGCTCTCTCTCTCTCTCTCCTCTCCTCTCTCTCACGTCATCTACGGTATACTTAAACCCAAAAGATCGTAGAAGTTACATACACATAGATGAAAGTAAAACCGCAAAAAGTTGGGCCTCATGAAAGATAAAGAAAGGAAGGATGGATGGAAGGAAGGAAGGAAAGATGAGGAGGAGGATGACTCAATTAATATTTCTTAAGGAGTTTGTTGCGAGTAATACATGTGTTGGTGTTAAGATGGACACGGTGCCTCTACCTGGTCCAGCATACTGATGAGGCACACACACACACACACACACACACACACACACACACACACACACACACACACACACACACACATGCACAGGACAGATGGGTGTAGCTACAGATACAAGGCTTCTGAAAGACTCCACCAGCATCGCGTCACACAACAGCAGCAATAAAACACACCAGTTGTCATATAAAAACTCTCCTCGCTTTTTTGTGAGTTTTTTTTTGTGTTTTTTTTTCCCTCAGGACTCCACCCCCAACGTCTTGAAGGATAGCGTGTACTGGTGTGTGTGTGTGGGTGTGTGTGTGCGTGTGTGTGTGTGTGTGTGTGTGATGATAATAATAAACAAGCAGCCATCCCCTCATACACACACACACACACACACACACACACACACACACACACACACACACACACACACACACGTACACGCACATATATATATATTCACAGCATCAATTCCACAAGTTAAAAAATACTAATAAAAACCCGCGATATAAACATAGACATAACTATTAAAAACCTGAAATAAAACAATAAAATAAACTACATAACAAAACTGAATTAAAAACCTTTTATAAATTGCGCGGGAAAACCATTTGAAAGACTTTAAATTTTCAGACTCTCAATTGACTGTAGCTGTGTGCGTGACAATACAACCGCGCCGTCTGTTAGAGATTATTTTTAGGTTCATTCTGGCGTGATTTACAACCATGTCGTTCTCAGGGGTGATGGTGTTAGGGGAAAGAGAGTGATAAGCAACGTACGTGAGGTTTGGTAAATAAGATTTTCCTCTCGGTAGTAATAAGGTGAATTGATGTTGGGTTCTGTGTTATGTTGTGTTGTGATCTAGTTTTGGTGAGAATTGGTTGTGTACGATGACTTAAACCTTTTGTGTACGATATTTTAACCTTTTGTGTACGATGACTTAAACCTTTTGTGTACGATATTTTAACCTTTTGTGTACGATATTTTAACCTTTTGTGTACGATATTTTAACCTTTTGTGTACGATATTTTAACCTTTTGTGTACGATATTTTAACCTTTTGTGTACGATGACTTAAACCTTTTGTGTACGATATTTTAACCTTTTGTGTACGATGACTTAAACCTTTTGTGTACGATATTTTAACCTTTTGTGTACGATGACTTAAACCTTTTGTGTACGATATTTAAACCTTTTGTGTACGATATTTAAACCTTTTGTGTACGATATTTTAACGATTTTTGTCATTTCGTTTTTTTCTCCATTTATTTATGTATATGAGAGAGAGAGAGATGAACCCCCTCGCTTTATTTCTGTCTTTAATACTTGGCCTCCACAATTTACTCTCCCGCGTCGCATTTCTTCGATTCTAAAAATATTTCACAGATGCCACAAAAAAGCCTCTCTCTCTCTCTCTCTCTCTCTCTCTCTCTCTCTCTCTCTCTCTCTCTCTCTCTCTCTCTCTCTCTCTCTCTCTCTCTCTCTCTTCCCCAGTCAGGGGATCACATTTACATACTGCTTATATTTCCATTCCCTTTCTTGCTCTTCGCAGAATTTGGCCTCGTTTTCTCTTTCTTTTTTCACAGGGGAAGACTCGAGCATTTCATCTCCGTGGTCCTGTCAGTATTTTGAGCTGAAATCTGGGTAGAGTGTGATGCCTGCCACCGTCCCTTCTCTCTCTCTCTCCTCTCTCTCTCTCTCTCTCTCTCTCTCTCTCTCTCTCTCTCTCTCTCTCTCTCTCTCTCTCTCTCTCTCTCTCTCTCTCTCTCCTCTCTCTCTCCCTCTCATCCTTTTAACTCATATTTATCTTCTGCGTAGCGTCTTTCTCCCACTCCTCCACCCTCCACCCCACCCCTTCTTACCTTCACCTTCACCCCTCCCTCCACCTCCCCCAGAAACACAGCTTAATACACCCACCCCTCACCTTTCTCCTTCACCCTCCCCTCACCCCTCCTCACCCCTTCCCTCCTCCTCCCTCCCTCCCTCCCCATGCTTTCTTCCCTCCTTCCACCCACCACCATTACCACCACCAGTACCACCACCATCACCACCATCAACACCCACTATTACCACCACCACCACCACCTCAGAATATAACAGGTGTAGTGAAATAGCACAAGCTCTTAATTAGCCCCGGCAGGTAAGACCAAGGGGGAGGGACTGTTTCCTTTAAGAGGTCTCTGGACACACACACACACAAGGGGTCTTAAGTGAAGTCATTTCTCTTACCTGTTAACAAAAGACTACACCTGACCAGGACAGTACAGTCGCTGATTAGTTTCAACGCCATTCATAGATTACAGGGCTCTCTCTCTCTCTCTCTCTCTCTCTACGAATCTCTGGGAATTAATCTGTGTCGTAACTTAATCCAGATTAACATGACCTTTTGTATCTCTGAGAATTGACCTTGTGGGCGGCTGTGAGAGTGTGTGGTGGGTGGCAGACAGTAAGATAGAGTGTGTGTGGTGGGTGGCAGGCACCAGGATTGTGTTTGGTGGGCGGCTAACAGAGTATGTGTGTGTGTGTGTGTGTGTGTTTGGTGGGCGCCAGGGTGTGTGGTTGTCAGGGTGGTGGGCGGCAGACAGTGTGTGTGTGTGGGCGGCAGGGTGGTGGGCGGTGAATCTGACGCCCACAATAGTCTTACGTCTCTCTGTGTCAACAACAACAGTACACTCGTCCTTCACTCATACACTTCCCACAATAATACATTTTATTTCACTTCATTC